AACCTTTACGTGTACTGCCACTTTACCATAGAATTACTTGTAAGTTTCTGCATGCGATTATAGATTAATTGCCTTTCAGAGACTAAATGGGATATTTAGTCAGTGGATGTTGAAATTCTCAATGAGGCGCTTCCTTCTGCTTCCACAATTGTTAAGAGTGCTTAATAGATTTCTAACCTACATCTATGTCTCTGACCACCGCCTTAACTTCTCCTGTTCTGACTTAACAGATATCTTATACGCAAAGTGGAAAAAAAGTAAATTCATTGAAATAAATCATTTACAAAAAAGAACAGCCAGCTTGTGTTGAACTCTTACTAAGTGCCAGGCACTCTAAGAGGTCTACATTTATTAATTCACTTAATTGTCATGATAACGCTATTGTCCCCATTTCACAAATGAGAAAACCGAGCACAGAGAGGTAAAGTAACTTGCCAGAGGCTGCACAGCTGGCAAGCAACCAACCTGGGATTCAAACCCGAGCTGGCTCCAGTGGCCATGATCTTAACCACAAAGACTGCCTCTTGGCCAGCGGCAGAAGTCAGGTCAATAACACACCAGTGTGGCTTCTCCAACCCTCATTCAGGCGTTTTCCATTCCGCAACAGTGAATATTGGTGAAAGCTCCCGCACACTTGACTGTTAGGAGTTATGTCTCCACTCTTGACTGGTTTGAGGCCCCAGGAGGGTTTGCTGAGCCCGGCACCTGGGCAGAACACGTCCCACCCCACTCCCTTCCATTACCACTGCCTGGACCACCACGTAGGAATTCTGATCTCCTGGCTGCTTGAGGCCCTTCCTTTGACACAAGAGGGCACACAAATGAAAGACTACATAGGAACTGCATCCTATTCAGAGCCTTTGTTGCCTCTTTCCCCAGCTCATTCCTTAGCCTGGCGTCCTGTAGTCAAACACGAAGCAGGAGAATCACGGTGCTGTTAGATACTTCCTTTATCACCGCCTCCTCCCACCCCCATGCACATGAGGCTGGGGTCAGGCAACTAGGCAAGGGACAGGAGGACCTCCATGCTCCCACTTGGCACCAAGATGAAATTCTATGGAAAAGGGTGTGAAAGTGCAGAAAACATAATTACAGTCCCTGACCCTTTCCTTCTGCTTCCCTCCCACACCCTACTGTTCTAGCCAAAAGGTATTCACATCGTCAGAGGAGAAGGAAAGCAAATCCACGTGTGTCAGAGGAGCACCCGGGGCCTAAGAGTTAGAACTAAACCTGCCGGATAATGCACAGGTTAGAAGTGTATGCTTTCCCCTAATTACATATTAACTTGTTTATTTGGAAATGCTATCTTAGTTATAATGAATCAGAAGGGAAGAACAAGATCCGGGGTGCGGGGGGCGGGGAAGATATTGCCCGACTCATCTTTTGCATGCAGATATATCTCTTCCAGTGTGAATGTTGTTTATTCTTCACCTGCTTAAAACACGTATGGTAAGATGAAGAAACAAGAATGCTAGCATTCTTAGACACTCTGCCCAGCTATTTGGCTGACTCCAGTAAGCAGATAGCAAAATGAATTAAATAGGTAAGGGAGACACCGATGGAAGACACAGATTGGCTATCTGCTTGATCCCAGGGGCCTCACCCCGGGTACATTTACTGGCGCTGGAGATCACAAGAATCCTATCAGCTTCATAGTGGGCCAGTGGAAAATGACGATGTAGGAACGTGGCCCCAGCACAACACTGGTCCTGGTCCCAACCCTGGTAAGGCCGCCATTTAGACCTAAGGTGCCAGAACAGGGGCAAGGTTGGGGAGCCTAAGCTTTCATTAGCACCCATTAGGGGTCGGGCATAAGACAAAAGCCATCACATTT